ATTTTTTATTTTTTTGAGAGAGATAGAGATTGTGAGTGAGCAAGGAGCAGAGAGAGAGAGAGAGAGAGAGAGAGAGAATCCTGAAGCAGAGCTCAAGCCTATCTGATATGGGGCTCGAACTCACAAACTGTGAGACCATGACCTGAACCAAAATTAGATGCTTAACCGACTGAGCCACCTAGGCACCCCCAAAAACTGTCTTTAAAAGATTTTATTTTTTTAACTAATCTCTACACCACCCAACATGGGGCTCAGACTCACAACCTCAAGATCACTAGTCATGCTCCACTGACTGAGCCACCCAGGTGCCCCAAGAAAAGATGGTTTTTTAAAAGGGGTATGTTTAAGAAGTTTTGTTAAGTAATTCTCCCCACCCCCACCATTTTCTCATAAAGTACGCAGAAACATCTACACTCTTTTCCAGACTTTAAAGACGGAATTCTGGGTTTTGGGCTAGGGGGACATGTAGCAATATTTTGAGATCTGCTTGATAGAAAGAACAGGGGGGCCTAGGGAGCCTGAGTTATGCTGGGAGGATATGAGAATTATATAAGATGATGCATAAAAGCACCTGGCACATGGTAAGCAATCAATAAATTAAAGTCCTCTTAATCTCTTAATGCAGTTCAAATAGTTTATTTTTATTATTTATTTATTTAAGTTTTTATTTTATTGAAGTAATCTCTACACTCATTGTAGGGCTCAAACTCACAACTCCAAGATCAAGGGTGGAATGTTCTTCTGATTGAGCCAACCAGGCACCCCTGGAGTTCGAATAGTTTAAATGACCTGCTCAAGGTCACCAGGCTTGTGAGCTTGGCTTAATATTTTTTCTTCAACCACATTGCCTCTTAATTTACGCAAATGACGTTGAATCAGTGGGTGACACTGCTAGAGAATAAAGTGACTGCACATTGACAAGACTGCCAATGTTCTAAGATGATCTTTTGTCTTAGCAAAACCAAATACACAAATGAAGTAGGTGGTCTTATTTGTTACTCCTATGATTTGCCCCGGCGCGGCGCTTTGTGGGCTGATACTTTCACTTTTTATCTCCAGGCCTTCATCAGCTGGGTCATTCTAGTTCTAAAATCTGTATCTGTGAGCCTGTCTGGGAGCTAAAGCTCTGCTGTATGAGACAGCAGCTCCTCGCCTCTATAATTTTGTTCCTTTTTAATACGATGTGCCATCAAGTATAATGCATGGGATATAAGCCTCAATTATTGTCAGCATACTTGGGGACTCATACCAATTATAGTGCTATTTCTCTGACAGGTCCCAGGCGAGCTGCAGCTTGGAGTCCTTCAACACTGAGAAACAAAGATTTTCTTTATGGGAGGTTTTCTAATACCATTTGAGATCCTTTAGTTTAAACCTGTACTTTTTTGTTCTTTTTCATTGAGTTGTGGCAATTTATGTGCTTTATATGAAGACGTGCACTTAATTTATATTGTTATAATTTAATATACTTCAGAATATACTAATTATAGTGAAGTTTGATTGCTCACAACTTGGCTCAGTGGAGAAGATGATGTTTCAAAGCAGAGTCACCCAGCAAAAATACTAGTCTTTGTTACCTTCTCTGGCTCTCAGCTCACTTCATTATAAACCTCCTCCCCTCTCTGCTCCTTCAATTATTTCCTGTCACCTCTCTATTTCTCCTTTCACTGTCTTATTGGAGTCAATTCAAAATGGCTTTATTCTTTTTGAACTTTCTACAAATATAAGAAAAAGAACCCCTATCTGACCCGATTTCCACAGATCTCCTTTGCCTTCTAACTCTAGATAGACAGTTTTGGCCTCTGCAGTGTTCCCTCCTCACACCTGAAGAAAGAACATTGCTCTTTAACTTGTACTGTTTTATTTGAATACAACCCACTTCCTCCCTCTGAGCCAATGAGTCATTTTCTCTTTTTAAAGTGAGCCCTAAAAATCTTCCATTTCTCTTCAGTTTAAAATTACACTTTGTGAAGTACTTCATGTCCTGTGTATGAAAGACACCCTATAAAACAGAGAAGATTGCCTTAACCACTCGAGGACTACAGGCAATGCATGACCTACCAAGTCTGCACAATTCTGAGTTAAGTGGACATCACTTATTTTCTTCTCTATGAAGGCAAGATTCATAGTCTTTTGTTTGCTAGTGAATTCCCAGAATGTTGATACATAGCAGATTTTTTAAATTTATTTTTTTTAATAGTTTTTATTTATTTTTGAGACAGAGCATGAGCAGGGGAGGAGCAGAGAGAGAGGAAGACACAGAATCTGAAACAGGCTCCAGGCTCTGAGCTGTCAGCACAGAACCTGACGCGGGGCTCAAACCCACGAAGGGCGAGATCATGACCTGAGCCAAAGTCGGACACTTAACTGACTGAGCCACCCAGGAGCCCCTATCGGAGATTTTTCAATAAGTATTTATTGAATGAATAAATGATTGATTCCCCCTCCTCGATCTTTTTAACTTGCTTAATACCATTCATGCAGTTAATGTTTTTCACATTGGAATCTCCTGTGATTAAGTAGAAAATACTCATAAAAGAGTATCGAAAAGTGAGAGATATAAATTGCAGAAGATGCAGCAATATTCTTAGGATTAGTTTAGAAAATGCCTAAAGAGGGGCGCCTGGCTGGCTCAGCTGGTGGAACATGTGACTTCTTCTCTTGGGGTTTTGAGTTTGAGCCCTACATTGGGGGCAGAGATTACTTAAAAATAAAATCTTGGGGTGCCTGGGTGGCTCAGTCAGTTAAGCCTCTGAGTCTTGATTTTGGCTCAGGTCATGATCTTATGGTCCTGAGACAGATCCCCATGTTGGGCTCTGTGATGAGCGTAGAGCCTGCTTAAGATTCTCTCCCTGTCTCAAAAAAAAAGAAGATTAAAAAAAAAATTCTCTCTCTCCCTCTGCCCCTCTCCCCTGCCTGTGCTCTCTCTCTCTAAAATAAATAAATAAATAAATAAGTAAAAAAATAAAATCTTTAAAAAATTTAAAAAGTAAAGAAAATGCCTAAAAAGAGACACATATGTTTCAGCACAATTTACAAATTTTACATTGGCATATCAAACACTTTTAAGTACATATATATCAATGATCCATTTATCTGTTATTATATGATATATTGCCTCAGTTAAAATTTTTTTTTAATGTTTATTTAGGTTTGAGAGTGACAGAGTATGAGTTGGGGAGGGGCAGAGAGAGTGGGGGAGACGCAGAACCCCAAACAGGCTCCGGGCTCTCAACTGTCAGTACACAGCCCGACGCAAGGCTCAAACTTGGGAACAGCAAGATCATGACCTAAGCCAAGGTCAGACGCTTAATCGCCTAAGCCACCCAGACTCCCCATCTCAGCTTTAAATAAAACGATCTTGGAATCCCCAGAGCAATAACTGATTTAACCACGAAGCTTCAATGGATGCTAAAACCAATTGGTGAAAGCTTATTGCAGAACACGATATTTACACACATCTCAAAGTATCCCCCCACAAACTGCTTATTCATTATAAAGGTGACAAGGTCTTTTACAATGGGGAAATCTTGTAAACACCATCTTAATCACATGATAAAACTTGACATCACTAATGATGGGACAAACTGACATCGTGTGCCTCCTGATATGATCTATAGAGAAGGTCATATTATTGCTTAAGTAATTTTCCTGCCAAACATGTTTAATATTTTAAATAATGAGGAAAAACACCCTCCAAACTGAGGGACACTCTGAAAAACAGCTGACCTGTACTCTTCAAAACCGTCAGTGTCATAAAAGCCTAACAAATGCTGAAGAGCTGTTTTGATTAAAGGAGACTAAAGAGACATAACGCCTCCATGCAGTGCGTGATCCTCATTGGTCCCGAATCAGAAACAAAACGTAAAAACCCCAACAGCTACAACAGACATTACCGAGACAAATGGAGACACTTGAATACAAATATATATGAGATAACACTAGTGTGCCCATGTTACATTTCCTGCCTGTGATAGTTCTACTGTGGAATGTCCTTGTTCTTACAGGAAATACGCTGAAGTAGTAAGAGGTGAAGTGTCATATTATCTGTAAATAATTCTCAATGGTTCCATTGGAAAACCTCTCATATGGTTCACCAGAAAAGATACACACACACACACACACACACACACACACACACATTTGAATATGTGTACCTATGGGGAAAGAGTTGTTACACACACACACACACACACACACACAAAACACAAGAGAGAAAAAATCTGGCAAATGTTAAGAACAGATGAACCTTGGTGAATGGTATATGTGTATTCATTGTACTGACTTGCAACTTTTCTCTGGTTAAAATTTTTTTCTAAATATAAGCTCGTTGAAAAGACTGACATCACGAATGCGGGGTTATTTTGATTGCTTATTCAGATACATATAGCTCAAAATGTCTGATGGTGTGGCAACTAATCTTTCTTTGAATCTTCTGTTTTCATCATCCTATTTTAGGACTCCTTGCCTTTCTGTTCACCGCCATCTGTCAAGCAGAGCCATCAATAGGTCTGTGATGTGCACAGACACCTCAACGGATTCTGAATATGCCTAGTGTGAACTGAAGCTCTGTTTCTTCTAACCGGAGACTTCTCTCACAGGGCCTCTTACAACTGTATCTCATGTATCTCCTATAGGGAGCCTTCCTTTTTGTTTTTTGGCTGATAGCTTGTTAGTACAATAGAAGCCATCCATGTATATGGAATATAAATTTTCATCTTTTTCTTATTGTCTTCCAATAAATATCCTTTTAGTCCTAGACAAAAGGGGAGCCCAAAGTATCCCTGAAAATGGTTAAACTATTGCTTTATTTTATAAAGAACTAGAGATTCTGGATAACACGTGATATTTGAATTTATGAAGTAATAGGCACTGTGGAATAGAGTGATGTGTGATATATTTGTCCCCACATCAGAACTGATCATTTTGGAATTATTTTCTGTTCTTCACTAACCTTTCTGATATTAACTGAAACATAAAAGTAGAATATTGGGGCTTACGTCATAGTTGCTCCAGGATCAGCAGTCATTTGATTGGTCACAAACACAGCCACGTTATATTCTGCATCAATAAATAAAATTGAGAGACTAAGAGAATGGCAATATGAAAGTTCATTGTTTAGATTTCAGAGTTTAGGAATACTATGCTATACATTTATTTTGTAAATAATATGTTCCTATTTTTTCATTGATAACATAAATTAAATTTATTATTGTTATTACTTCTTAGGTACCTTATTTTGATTTAAAATCAGTATTTTGGTTTACTAAAAGAGCTGTGGTCCCATGAATTTTATTTTTAAAAAATGTACTGCCTCCTGACATTATGCTGCAAAGCCTTCTCAACAGTCACAGATGCAACTCTGATAGTACCATTTATTTTAAAAATCTACCTTCTGAGATTTTTTGGAGTCGTGACAACATCTGGGCCAATTTTTGCTGCCGTTCAGCCAACTCCCCACGACCGCTGAAATCCACTCGAAAAAGGGCCATTATTGAATCAATGATCTATACGGGATTCACATAAAAATAAATGTGCATTTGGAAATGGAAAGAAGTTAATCTGCATTGGAATTAATAGGAGAAAAATGGTAAGTTAAGTAGCTCTGTGAGGGAGCAGTATTGAAAAGCTCGTACCAACAGCTTGAAGATGCCAGCCTCTTCGTGGAACTTTGCTGCTACGTAATCAAGTAGCTCCATCTGATGTTCACCTGGTGGGAAATGCAGGAAGAAAATGTTATAAAAGCTAGAAGAAGCAGAGGCTAAGATCATGTATGCTCTTGGAGTCAGGCAACAGAGAGGACTGAAAGGGTTTTCTCGGGCATCTGGGTGGCTCAGTCGGTTAGGTGTCTGACTCTTGGTCATAATCTCACAGTTTCGTGAGTTCGAGCCCCGGGTTGAGCTCTACATTGACAGAGCAGAGCCTGCTTGGGATTCTCTTTCCTCTTCTCTCTCTGCTCCTCTGTCACTGGTGTTCTCTTTCTCAAAATAAATAGACAAATCTTAAAAATAAAAGAAAGAAATTTCTTAATTATTTATGGAGTTTTTTATTCAAGTTTTGGGGGGCAGAGAGAGAGAGGGACATTAGATCTAAAGCAGGCTCTGGGCTGACGGCAGTGAGCCCGATGTGGGACTTGAAACCCTGAACCAGGTAATCATAACCTGAGCTCAAGTCGGACACTCAACCAGCTGAGTCACCCAGGCGCCCCTACTTATGGCTTTACTAAATATGATTCCAGTCTGCCTTAGCATGTATGCCAAATGCTACATTATCCAAAAAGAATGTTATTCTCTGTTTCAAAGACAAAGAACAAGAAATCATTTGAAGGCATTTTAATATCTAAGGAGTTGCCAGAGGATAGATAACATTTGTGGACTGACTAAATCAATTGGGAGGAAAGTAAAATGAAAAGAACAGTTATACGTATCACCGAAATAATAAACCAGTGCTGCCAACCTTAAAACAGCCTAAGCATCCACTTAGCATGGGGCTCTTACTAGTATATGCACGTGCATAGAGTACATTGTCCAGTACCGCATCATGGTCTACATTGAAGCGGTCAGCAATGTCCCGAAGACGATCTGGACGGCTGGAGGAGGCCAAGATTAAGGATCCAATAAATCAATTCCAAAAAAGTTTAGACAACTACAAACGGTAATACCTTAAGTAAGAAAACTAGCAGAGAGGCGAACGACACCCCTGCAAAGGTATTCTGCAGGAGGCAAATAATCACTTAAAATCTATATCAGATTTTATTTTTTTCTTAAGTGCCCAAGTTAACAAATACTTTAGGTAGTAATAACAGTGATGGAAATGATGAAGCAGGGATGAATTTAAATATTAAATAATCCAGGGGAGCCTGGGTGACTTAGTCGGTTAAGTCTCAGACCCTTGAATTCAGCTCAGGTCACAGGGTCATAGGATGAAGCCCCCTCGAACCCTTTGTGGGGCTCCCCACTGAGCATGGAGCCTGCTTAAGAGTCTCTCTCTGCCCCTCTCCCCACCTTGTGTCTATGCTCTCTCTCTAAAATAAATAAATAGATACTAAATAACCTAATATTTATAATAACTTTGGAAGCTACTTGTTATGACCTATATTACATTTTACAGATAAGGACACTGACCAATCAGTTACAAGAGAAAGACTAGAAACTAAGATTTGTGCCTTTCTTTGATCTCAGTTCTATAGAAGTAGATCTACCCTGGGAAGATAATATCACTGAATCATAATTCAAGTCACTTCGAAGTGAATTAACTCATTCTCTTTAAACTTATTTAATATGAAATAATTTAATATACCATTAACTGTGAGTTGCCAACAAATGATAAGCTTGACTACATGAACCAAAGGATCAAAAAGTAATTTTAAGGATCAGAAGGAAATTATCAACCTATGGTTTTTGGTTTATTTAGGGTTTAAAATCTACCTTCTCCTAAAGGACTTGTGTTAGCTTGCTGAAATTAGCAAATTCATAGGAAGGCACATTCAGTGCACTGGCAAAGGTATTTTGGAAGATGCTAATCATCACTTATACCCATCTGAACTAGATAGGAATAACAAACATTTTTTAAGTCTTATCCATGGTCTCATTTCACTTCACTTTGTTTATGGTATTTTTATAATACTGATCATACTATAACTAACTGTAAAACAAGGACAATTTACAATCTTATTTGTGACATTTACAACTGGTTCCATATATGTTGCATTGGATTGTCTTTAGATTTCCCAGCCATCTGGGAAATGTGCATATCCTAATGCAGTAATATGTTCTTTTCTTAAAAGTTTAGTGACAACCACTAAAATCTTCCATTGCCACTGAGTGTGGACATTTTTGGTGGACAAGCCAAAAAAGACAAAGAATTGGAAGACGTAATAAAAATGTTTTTCACTACATTACTTTTTACAGAACCCAGTTACTATGTGACTGGGTGCGTAAAAGGTGGACTTATGCTGAAGAAAGTTCAACTCAATCTATAAATATTTGTTAACCAATTATCATATGGAATTGACAATCATTTTAACCAACTCCCAGTGCATTGTGGGAGATAAGAGGAATTGTAAGACAATCCATATTATAGGTAAACATAAAACATAATTAAGAAGGCAAAATATAAACATCTAAAAAAGAAAATATCAAGAGAGAGCAGTGTGAGAAAAACCAAAGGAATGAGAACATTCCAATGGGGCTCTTGAATGTCCTTGTCACCCCCCCCCGCCCCAGCTGTTCCTCCCTACTCCCTCTTGCACATGACTTAGCTCCAAACAGTTCCCCTCTACCATTCTCGATAAAATCCAAATTGCCCAAACAGTGGCTGTTCATCTGCAAGAACAATTCTTCCCTCTTTAAGCACCATTCTTAATCAACTATTTCTGAAACTAGCTGAACTCCAGCTGTGCTCCTCTTGCTACAGCCCTATATAGTCTTCCACCCTCCTTCCCCAAGTTTGGAGTCTCCTTCAGAGTCTTCACAGGCCCGCTATTTCCAAATAAAGTCTTTTCTGCACGTGGTTCTGTTTTTTCCCTTCTACTAGCGTATTTTAGATAGTAAATTCTGTAACAGCTTAGGAAGGACCAGGTTTTTTAAGCTGAACAGTGAGAGATTAGAAAAGGCAGGCCTTCAAAGGACAGTCTTAAAGGATTCGTATGATTCAGAATGCCTGTGAGGTAGGGATCAGATACCCCAGGAGGAGGATAGAAATATAGCCTGCTGGGCGCCTGGGGGGCTCAGTCAGTTACAGGTCCGACTTTCAGCTCAGGTCATGGTCTCACGGTTTGTGATTTTGAGCCCTGTGTCCAGCTCTGGGCAGACAGCTCAGAGCCTGGAGCCTGCTTCCAATTCTGTGTCTCCCCCTGTCTCTGCCCCTGCCCCGCTTGCACTCTGTCTCTCTCTCAAAACAAGCAAACAAACAAACAAATAAATGTTAAAAAATTTTAAAGAAACATAGCCCACAAATTTCTCTATGGCCAAATTAACATTTAAGAGTGGGAGCAAAATAAAGGCATTTTCAGACAAGCCAGGGCTCAAAGTTTACCACTTGGATTACTTTTCTGAAAGAATGACTTGAGCAGGTACTTCAATAAAACAAAAATGCCAGAAAGAAGATTTGGGATGCAAGAAACTATAATAAACAGAGAAAATGAGTACTTTCATAGTTTAACTAATTACTGCTGTACAATGTTTTCATGTTTTAGAGACAATAATATTGGACTAGAACAGACTGGATCTCTTTGCCTCTAACAATGGTGGTAATAGTGAGTAATGAGCTTAGAGAGCTAGGCTAGGGCTTCATTGTGAATGGCCTTACAAATTTGTACTAGTCTTTCCCATTTGTAAAAACAATTTCCAGGGCACCCTTAAGCTCAGTTGCTTAAGCACCAACTCTTGGTTTTGGCTCAGGTCATGATCTCACAGTTTGTGGGATTGAGCCCCAAGTTGGGCTCTGCACTGAAAGTGAGGAGCCTGCTTGGGATTCTCTTTCTCCCTCTCTCTCAGTCCCTACCTACCCATATGTACTCTCTCTCTCAAAATAAATAAACATTTAAAACAACAACAATTTCCTCTGAGGTGCCTGGGTGACGCAGTTGGTTGAGCGCCTGGCTCTTAATTTTGGCTCAGGTCATGATAGCACAGTCATGAGATCAAACCCCTTGTCAGAGCTGGGTGTCGAGCCTACTTGAGATTCTGTCGCTCTTTCCTCTGCCGCCCACCCCTGTCCCATGTGCAGGCAAAACAAAAAACCAAAAGCAATTTCCTCTGAACCTGATAACCTCCTCAAACTACTGTATTTCATCTTCTACTTGTTAGTGAACAACACTGCCTCCATTCCTTACCGTTTACTCACAACAAGTGTCTGTCACCTTACTTCACTGCAAACGTTCTCTTGAATTCCTAATGTCAAACCTCAGGGATCTTTCTCAGCTTGTGCCTTCCCTCTCTTTCTTTCTGGAACAGTACTTGACTATTCTTTTCTTCTTGAAACTTTTCTCTGGCTCAGCCTCTACAACTGAATTTCCTCCTACTGTCTCTGTCTCTATGGCGTCTTCTTTTCTTAGTCCCTCTTTCCAAGCTGAGGCACATCCAAAGTTATGCTCTACCTCTTGTCGGGTGGAACCCAACATTTCCATGGATGTCCTCCTGTTCCTCATATTTAACACAGTGACATGAAACACACCTTTTGTCTGAAACGCGATCTTCCCAATTCTGTCTTCAGCATCACTATTCTCCCAGCATCCAGACAAAACACCTGACAGTCGTGTTTCAAACCTCTTTCCTCGGTCTACAAGATAGGGTCATCAAATCCTATCAAATTTCCTCCCTAGTATTTTTGTCTCCCCCCACCCCCCTTTTTGTTAAAGATTCTTATTTTTAAGTAATCTCTACACCCAACGTGGGGCTCAAACCTATGACCTCAAGATCAAGAGTTTCATGCTCCACTGACTGAGCCAGCCATGCACCCCTTGTCCTTTTCTTTTTATTCCTTCTGCTTCCAGCCTAGATCAAGCTCTCATTGCTTGCCTGGAATATTGCAAAAGTATCGGATTTACAACCCTGATCTAGTTTTAAAGCCCTTCATATCTAAAACCCAAATCACTGGGGCGCCTGGGTGGCTCAGTCAGTTAAGCATCTGACTTCAGCTCAGGTCACGATCTCGCGGTTCACGAGTTCGAGCCCCGCGTCGGGCTCTGTGCTGACAGCTCGGAGCCTGGAGCCTGCTTCCGATTCTGTGTCTCCCTCTCTCTCTGCCCCTCCCCTGCTCATGCTCTGTCTCTGTCTCAAAGATAAATAAACTATAAAAAATTTTAAAAAAGTAAAACCCAAATCACCTTTCCAGCCTTAATTCTGAAACACCTTACATTTCAAATTAAACTACAATTCTTTCTGTTACCCAACCAGGTTCTGCCCTTTTCCCTTCTGTGCTTTTGTTCTCTTCTTACCCTTCCCTTTATTTTGAACCATGACTTTGAGACAGTCAACAATCTTCTTCCAAATTATTAAGTACAATCTTTGGAGAAGAGGATAAAAAAATGAATAAAATCTAATTTTCTCTCATATATTCATTTTGTGAATTTTACATGAAACTCATCCGGGGAACTGAAACCTTTTTAAATAAAAAGTGACTTGAAAACTCGACCAACAACTGTTTTCCTTGTGGCTTTTCTCATTATTGCTGGTTTAGGGGATGATTATACAAATGATATATTTCAAATAAATTTTCTTTTATAGTAACATTACTACATCACACTAATTATGTTAGCAACTTGTTTAAATAAAAAGGTTACAAAGTATTTTCTGTATCAATGAAGATAATCTTTCCTCCTGAGTAGCCTCCTGCTCCTGGAAGTTGAGCTGTCACTAGGAAGCAATTAAAAAATTAAATAATATTAATAGGATTGAACAGGTTTTATAGAAGTGAATATATAAATTAACATAGGATTTGCATTGGTTGCAATCTTTAGTCAATCTGGCAAAGAATCATGATCCCTTAGTTTCTAAAAGCATGTTCCATTCTTGTATTACTAACCAATGGTAATATCATAAATATTCCACCAGCATAGTCGCAATTCAACAAAGAATGTCAGTATCTCTTTATTCATTAAAGTTAGTTCTTTTCTAAAGAACAGAATTTAAATATTACTTTCTTCCTATAAGAAACAATCACAAATACAATGTGTGCTATATAACTTATTTAAATAACCTTTCAATTAGTGCATGTCAAATTTTAAAATGCATTGTCTTTCTAGGAAGTAGTAGTTGATACTAAGGAATTTCTTTATATTAGGTTCACATATTATTTCATTTACTTTTCAAAACAACCCTAAATTTGGCACTATCATTATTCCTGTTTTACTGATGGGAAAATGAGACAGGTGAAGCAATTTGCCCAAGGTCACACAGTTGGTAATGGTTGAGCCAAGACAGGAACCAGGTATTTTGATTCCAGAATCCCATTCTTAACTGCGTAGTCATGCTTCTCCTCAGGTCAAAGAAATGCAGAGTAACAGCTTAGTATAAAAGGAGGTATTTTGTTTATTTGTTTTAATAACATTTATTTTTAAGTCTTTCCTGAGCTCCTCGCTCCATGGAAAGTTAGAGATTCTAGGTCTCAACTGATTTTGTGACATTTTCGTCAATAGAATACAGAAAAGATGAAATGGGATAAATGGAGACAGTGAGGGCCTCTCTCCACCATCAACACTCATGTACCTGCTCACTTCCGCCCTGGTTCCATTCAGGTGGTCAGAGTGCAGCACATGTAACATTACCTCAAGCATCATACATTCAAAGACTGGCTCTGGTATTTGTGTAACAATGGGCAGTTTACTTAACCTCTCTGAGCTTTAGTTTCCTTGGAAATTTGTTCAGATTACACAAGATTATATAAAGTACCAGGCACAAAATAAAATTAGTGTGTGATAGCTATGATAATTATTGTTATTGTTGTTGTTATACATCCTTACCGCAGAGGGTATGAGAGAGCTGGGTTTTTCCAGTACGAAATTCTGTGAGATATAGAAAAAACCAAAAACCACATAGTTTGTTTTTAGATATTTTCATAAAAAATAAAATACAGCCTCAAAGTATGATTTTCTTTCCAATTATCAAACCTTACATATAAAGTTCTAGTGTGTCATGGGTGCATTCTGAAACATGAATACCAGTAGTGAAAATGACTTTTAAAAACATTTATCTACTTTGAGAGGGGGAAAGAGAAAGAGGGAGAGAGAGAACCCCAAGCAGGCCCCGTGCTCAGCACACAGAGCCCAACACAGGGCTGGAACTCATGACAGTGAGATCATGACCTGAGCCGTTATCAAGCATTGGCTGCTTAACTAACTGAGCCACCCAGGCACCCCTGTAAAAATAACATTTTAAAGGTATTTGTTCACAGAACTGTCCTTTAGAAAAAAAATTATTTAAACCAAGTTTTCCTTAGGTTTGATTAATCATTGTGAGATAATAGGAAAAAAAATACATATATTGATCTCTGCTCTCCAGTTCTTGGCACCAAGTTCCTAAAACCCTTGTAATTTCCCAACTGATAAGAGCACTACGAGCATCATTTGTTTCAAGGAGGCGGCTCTGGATAGGCTCCTGATGGCTTCTGATGGATGGACGGGGGCTGGTCACCAAAAAGACCAAGCCATGATTAGAAGGTTAGAATTTTCAGCACCCTTCTCTAGAGAGGGGAGAAGGGCTGGAAATGGAGTTAATAATTGATCATGCCTGTGTGGGGAAACCTTCGTAAAGTCCCAGTAGTGTGGGATTCAGAAAGCTTCTGGCTTGGTGAACACGTGGAGGTGCTGGAAGAGGGGCACGTCCAGAGAGGACATAGAAACTCCACACCTCTTCTCTCACCTTTTCCTACTCATCTCTTCCCTCTCGATGTTCATCCATATCCTTTATTGTATCTTTAATAAACTAGTAAATGTAAGTAAGTGTTTTCCCGAGTTCTGTGAGCTGCTCTAACAAATTAATCAACCCCAGGAAGGGGGATGTTGGAACCTTGGATCTACAGCTGGTTGGTCAGAAGAAGGTAATAACCTGGGCATGTGAATGGCATCTGAACGCAGGGGGCAGGTGGGGAAGGGATTCTTATGGGACTGAACCCTTACTAAACATATGAAATCTGATGCTATCTCTGGGTAGATAGTGTCAGAATTGAGTTGAATTCTTAGATACCCTGCAGGTATCCAAGAATTGCTTATTGTTGTGGGGGAAAACGTCTACATGTTTAGTGGCCAGAAGTGTCAGAAGTGAAGTGTATTGTGTGGGCAGTAAAGGAGATTCACAGGAAAAAAATACAAAGTAGGAAAGAACTGGGTCTTCACTACATAGGGAAAAAATACTGAGTTTTTTCATTTTAGTCATATAAATGAAAGTTCAAGACCCTACTACTAAGGAAGGAGAGCCTCCGGTTCTCCCACTGCACTGAGATCCTCTTAGGGAAAGCTGAAGTCAACTCAGATTGGTGGCATGCCCTATCTCCCAACAAAAGCAAATTCCTTCTAGAGAAAAACTTTCCCATATACCAGTTTCGGTCCGGTGAACTTGCAGAGATCAAAATCAGGTAATAAGCTCACAAATATCAGTAAATACACAAGGGAGTGAGCCACTAAGACTGACAGTCAGCAGAAATAATAAAAACCAGATTTATTTCTCTACATCAACAGAAACATCAACAACCAAAAATAGACTTAGTTCCCCTAAGGACTGCAGATACTGGAATTGCCAGGCATGGTAACATAAAATAGCTATGCATGAATTGTTTTGAAGAAAAATAGAAGATACGATCAGGGAAGAGAAAATCTACTCTCTACGTTTATGGAACATGCATATCCTAGAAATAAAATTGGTCCCATTATTCAACTGCCTTTTGAAGGAAGGAGAGAAAAAATGTCTACTCTTCTACGGAAGTCAGAGGAAAAGAGGACAAATGCCAACGAGACCTCTCTGTTAGTGTTGGAATTTGTTTTGATTGCTGCCCAGAATGATCCTGTATTATAACTGAGACTTCACTGTAAGTTTCAAAATAGATGCAATTTACTATTGGTTATTTGTTTAATTATACGTGTATGTATGTGAGCGTGTACTTCTTTTCATATAACAAAATACGAAGGTTTTACCCACCTCCAAAAGCTTCTGTGATTGCCATGCTTTCAATTCCACCTCCTAGCAACTTACTGGAAATAGAAAGTAAGCATTAGTAAAAGGAACAGAAATAGAAATATCAAGAAAGGAGAAAGCGTATCATATGTCTCCTGTCATCTATCTATCTATCTATCTATCTATCTATCATCTATCTAATATGAACAGGAATTCGTGGCAGAATAGATGGCACTCTTCCTCTCTAGACCACAGGGTCTGCTGCATGTGGCCAGAGTGGATCCACAAAACAACGTATAAGCCTTTCTGTTCTTGTTCTTACTTCTGGGTACCAATAGGAAATGGTCTATATAGGCTTTAAGTCTCATTCTTTTTTTTTTTAATGTTTATTTTATTTTTGAGAGAATGAGAGAGAGAGCACAAGCAGGGGAGGGGCAGAGAGAGAGAGGGAGACAGGATCCGAGGAGGGCTCTGTGCTGATAGCAGAGAGTCCCTATCAGAACTCAAATTACGAACTGTGAGATCATGACCTGAGCCAAAGTCAGACTGAGCCACCCAGGAGCCCTTAAGTCTCATTCTTTAGAAGTGAATTGAAGCCTGAATAAATGGTCTTAGTTATTAACTGGGTTGTTCATATTGTGCTTGGGAAAGACTCTTCCTTAGCTGTTACTTGAAAAAAAAAAAAAAGGATTCTGTGATTTATAAAATTTGGGGCAATGCTAAGTTACAGAGGTGTTGTGTTTCATGGCAGGATTTCATACCCTTTAATAGGCTAGTGTGCACCGTGGATCTCCAAAAGAGTAATATATAGTATACTCCACCAATTTATTTCATTCACTACTTGTTTATTCATTCAGTTATTTAATATTTACTGAGAATCTAGTTTATGCTAGAGATTGTTTATGCACTTGGGGTAAAGCAGTGAACAAAAGACAGAAATTCTCCATTTTGTGGAGCTTACATTCTAGTGGGAGAACAGATAAAAAATAGTAATAAATACTTTAGTAAAATATGTGGTATGTCAGATATTATTAAATGGTATGGATAAAAATTAGATCCAAAAAGGAGATAAGAAGTACAGAGGATGAAGGCAGGGAGTTTAAATATTTAAATAAAGTGATCAGAGACCTCACTGAGAAGTGGACATTTAAAATTTTTTTTAATCTTTTATTTATTTCTGAGAGAGAGACAGCATGAGCAGGGGAGGGTCAGAGAGAGAGGGAGACACAGAATCTAAAACAGGCTCTAGGCTCTGAGCTAGCTGTCAGCACAGAGCCCGATGTGGGGCTTGAACCCACGAACTGCAAGATCATGACCTGAGCCTAAGTCGGACGCTTCACCAACTGAGCCACCCAGGCACCCCAGAAGTGGGCATTTTAGTAAAGACTTGAAAGCAATGACAGCAAGCCATGTAGACACAGGAGTAAAAAGTGTTCCAGGCAAAGGAAATGGTAAGTGTAAAGGCCCTGAGGCAGGTGAGTAACCTGGCATATTCAAGGAATAGCAAAGAAGTCAGTGTGGCTGGTGCATTGCAAACTAAAAAAAAGAATAAAAGATGGGATTAGGTCAGAGATTAGAGAGGATTCTGGCTTTTGCTCTGAGATGGGGAGTCCTTGGAGTAGTTTGGGGCAGAGAAGTGTTATGATCTGACCCAAGTTTGAAAGACATCATTCTGGCTCCTGTGTGAAGAACAAATGGGAAGGTCTGAAAGAGAGAGGGTTAGAAGTTACTATAATACTCCAGAAGAGATGTTTAAACCAGTACAGTAACAGTGGAGGAGGTGGTGAGAATTCATATTTCCTCTTTTTTCCTGCACGCATGCGCAGGTTTTTAAAATACAGGCTGATTCAAAAACTAATAATTTTGATTTGAATTCTTGTAAGAAATTTAGTCCTGCTGCTACAAATTGTCTGGAATTTGTTTGCATCAGTAGTCTTTCAGGGGGGAAAAAAGCCTACTTTAAAAAAAGAAGCGATTTCTAACAAAGTCAAGAAAAGAAATACAATATTCCAAAGATTGTGTCTAGTAGTTGTAAAAAAAATATGAGATACACACTCAAATTCCTGGCTCCCAGTGGTAATATGGAAAACCATCTTTCTCTTCTCACTATACTCAAAGGCAGTCAAGAATCCTGGTTCCTACAGAAAGACAAAAGGAAAGGTTCAAAGGGTATATATGCTCCCAGAAACTATTCACTTGATTATCAGAGTCATCATTTGATATAAGCTACGGTTCATTTGTCTTTGAAGGCAGCACAAGATCATAGTTAAGAAAACAGGCTCTGGAGGCACCTGGGTGGCTCAGTCGGTTTAGCATCTGACTCTCGATTTCAGCTCAGGTCATGATCCCAGGGTTGTGGGATCAAGCTCTGAGTGGGGCTCCTCACTGAGTGTGGAGGCTGCTTGAGATTCTCTCTCAATCTCAAATTAAAAATTGCAAGCAAGCAAGCAAGCAAGCAAGCAAGTAAGCAAGCAGACTCTGGAGCTACCCTATCTAGGTTCACACTATGTCTCAGGCACCTGGGTGGCTCATCAGTTGGGCATTCAACTCTTGATTTTGGCTCAGGTATGATCTCACTGAGCTCAGAGCCATTTGGGATTCTCTTGGTCCCTCTCTCTCTGCCCCTTCCTGATCACCCCTCTCCCAAAAAATGAACTCTTAAAATAAATAAATAAAAATGTAAGAAAAACAAAATAAATCTCTAACACATACTAGTTATATGATTTGGAGTAAACTACTTAATCCTGCTATACTTCAACTTCCTCTTTTGGCTTAAATGGGGATAAGGAAACTGTCGCTCTAATAGGCTAGCTATAAAGTTTAAATGAAATATACTTATGGCATAAAGCAGAATGGTATTTTACTAAATGATTCCATTGATTTCATTGAATGGCATCATTTCCCCCTCGCTTGGCAAGTTTCGAGGAGCACAGAAATTCCAGTTTTCACTGTTCAGGAGACAGTATCTTCCACATGGTAGGAATACTACTTATCTGCTCAATTAATGAGCAATAGCTAATGCAGTATTAGAAATAGTGAGAATAGGCCCTGATGTGCTCTGATGACATGGTCTAATGTGTTTCCGCCTATGTTTTATACTATGACAGTGGTTCTCAAACTATGGAGAACATAAGCGGAGTGTAAAAAAAAGCCCAGTCCCCATCCTATTTCAATGAATCTGAGCCTATGTCTTCTTTATTGGCCACTCCAGGTTATACTGATACACACCAATGTTTGGAACCACTGTACTCTGTAATTATCTTCCTTCTCGCTCTCTCTCTCTCTCTCTCAAATCTCTAAGAATAAATAGCTTTAGTTAAGAAAGGATGCAGACTCTGGGTACAGTAGTGGATGCTTAAGAAGGAGAGGGCTTCTTTTCTTTGATAAGGGGTTTGGTTTGCAAAGAAAAGAAGACTAATGCCTAGGAGCTATCGAGTGGCAGTTTCCCAAGCCCTGGTACTGGTACTGGTACTTGTAGTGGTATTGGTACTGCTCCAGGGTGGTTGTGGAACTGACCCCTGAGTATACTGCCTGAGTTTACTCAGAAGTTAGAGCAACTGAGCTGGGTGCCGGGCAGTTCAGTTAGGTCCTCTCCAAGTTCAGGACCACACTGCCACCATCATCACTCTCACGCCTCAACTGCCCCTGGAGAAAGAAACCAAATGGCTGCCAGTGAAGAGAGCTCCTAGGACTTGCTGGGAATGAGACCCTCATATACATGTGTGGACATGGAGAGCCTTGCTAACCCAATGCTCTCTTACCAACCGGCTTATACCGGGAGAAAGCAACTTCTTTGGTGCTGAGTGCTTTGCAACCACCAAAGACATACTATTTGAGGAGACAAAGCAAAAACAAAGAGGTGTTTAAAAAGAGAAACAGAAAGGGAGAAAAATTAATGTAAAATGAGAGCAAAGAAAAAGGTTTTGGTAAAAATAACTGCCTTTATAGTATTGAAGTCTCTTAACCCATCTCGATCTGTTAGAAATTAATTATTGTTGCTTTGAAACTGAAGTGATAAAAAGTTAACATGAGGAGTATAATAGATTGTGATCTACAGGAAGTTTCTAGCATTTAAAACAATTTTTTTAAATATTTATTTTTGAGAAAGAGAGACAGAGTAAGAGCAGGGGAGGGGCAGAGAGAGGGAGACACAGAATCGAAAGCAGGTTCCAGGCTCCAAGCTGTCAGCACAGAGCCGGATGCGGCGCTCAAACTCACAAAACATGAGTTCATGACCTGAGCTGAAGTCGGAAACTTATCCGACTGAGTCACCCAGACGCCCAGGAAGTTTCCAGCATTTAATGAGAAAGGCTATAGATCTCACAGGGCCCTTCCTTTTTTTTTTTTTTTAAAGTAGGCTTCACACCTGACCTGGGTCCTGAACTCACAACCCTGAGATGAAGACCTGGGCTAAGAACAAGACCTGAACTGAGATCACTTAAGCAACTGAGCCATCCACCCCTCACAGGGCCCTTCTAAGCTAAAACAACAAAGAATTGAGTTTGCTCACAATAAGTTTGTTGGCTGCCTCTTTAATCTTCTCCACTTTTGCTTCTGAGAGCCCTTTGACATTGCATAGTGCTCTTCTTGTTGTCATTTGTATGCCTTTGATGGTACAGATTCCTACCGACTTCAGTTTTTTAATGTCAGCCACATTCTGTAAATAAAAGAATGGATGCAGCAGATTGGTAAATACTATGTCATGTGCTTTTGTGTCCATCTTCTTCCACCACGATGTCAATTTTATACAAGCAGCCAGGTGGAACCCACCCACCATGTAGCCAAATGTTCTGGAAATATCTGAGTAGAACATACCCAGCACGCTGCCAAATGTTCTGGCTGTGCCCTGATTTCCTAAGAATGTTAGTGAGACCGTGGCAATGTAGCAAGGAATTCAAAAGAAAAGTCTGTTGGTAGAAAAGCTAGCAAATGTATCACACATTCGCCCCCTCAGTTCAGCTCCTTCCTTCTAGAGAACTTCATTATGAATATGTTCTTTTTAAAATTAAAATTTTTTCCCTCTCCCCTTGGGGAACGCAAATAGCTACATCGCCAATGGACCAGGATTTTCTCTTGCTCCTATTTTCTCAATCCAACTGAAAGAGATGAAATGTGAGGGCTTCAAAAGAAAATGTCAGAGAAGTTTTACTATCAATGAACTGCTGTTGAAATTCATCTAGTTACTCAAAGTCCGGTTTCTGTCCTCATCACTTATTTACTCCAATCACCTGCCACAGAACTGAATTTTCCGTTGACGAGAACAGGGGTGGATAGTTCTGAACCCGTTCAGTTGGACCAGGGGTTCTCAGCTGGGGTCCATTTTGCCCCGGGGGACATGTGACAATGTCTGGAGACAGTTTTGGTAACTAAGGGGCTGCTACTGGTATGTAGGAGCCAGGAACACCCCCACAACTAAGAATTGTCCGGTCCCAAAGGTCCAATAGGGGCAAAGCTGAGAAACCCTGAACCGGACGATTTCAACAGCATTGAAAAAAATACTTACAATTCCATGTTTTTGTAACAGGTCAATGTCTTGAAACAGAGATTCCTGGAGGAGATGGAACAGAAAAGAAAAATGGAGTTTGATTCTTCATATCCAGTTGTATTAAGAGTTAATTCAGTATTAGGAGTCACCCCCAAATGCCTCAAATTCCACTTCTCTAGACAGATCAGGTGGGACCAATAACGTTTTTTTCAAACACATTGCTACTGACTTAGAGGAGGCACCAACAGGCGTCCCTGGGTGGCTCAGTTGGTTAAGCGTCTGACTTCGGCTCAGGTCATGATCTCAGAGTTCATGGGTTCGAGCCTTGTGTCAGGCTCTGAGCTGACAGCTTGGAGCCTGCTATGGATTCTGTGTTTCCCTCTCTTGCTCTGTGTCTCACCCACTCATGCTCTGTCTCTCTCTTAAGAATAAATAAAACATTTTTAAAAGTTAAAAAAATAAAGACAAAGAAGATGCACCAACATTGAGAGGACTTAACCCAAATGAGTGGAACAACATTTAACCTATTTTAAAATACGTCTTCTCAGCTTCCTGCCCCACCAGGCCTTGAACTCCTTCCTCTGCTATTGGGTCCCAGCGTGCATAGATTACCATGATGGCATACCAGTTGTTAGGTTATTAAAACACTTTCATGCTAGTTGCTAAGTAGCTAATCTTGGCATCCCTTGCCAGACAAGTTGTTACATATTTGTAATATTGCCTCTCCCTAGAACTATGCTTTCTTTCCACTCTGGGTTGCTAAAAATAATTGCTAACAGAGAAGGAACTTCATTTTTGTGCAATGACTGAACGTCTACCACGTTTCGACATTCTAGCCGTATACCTCTTCATCTTGGAATCCTGGTTCTTCCAGCACAACCTGATCCTCCTTCATAGTGAAAGGTGAGCAGCAGAAAAAGAATCCGTTCTGGCAAAAGAAATATTATTTAAGAAGTGGTCATAGATCGGACGGTACAAAAAACCCTTTGGCCAGAGACCTCCTTGAATTCATTTCAAAGTCACCAAGGACCAGAGTGCTGAGCAATGAGGGAAACATTTAGCATGGAATGACTGGGCTGGGCGCGCGACATTATTGCTTTTGTGGGTGTATGTTTGTGAGGGCGGGGGACTTCGTTTCTTCTCTTTTTCCTCAAAACTGGTAACGTTTTCCTCATCTTTTGATTCCCGCTACCACAGATATCATGACTGGTAAAATCTTTTTGGTTGTCTTGGATTGCTATTGAGGATTGCACACGGCTACTTAGCCTTTCAGGTTTGTGTTAACAATGTTCTAGAATTTTGACCTTCTGTCGTTCTTCCTCTATCTTCCCGGGCTCCTCAATCAATACGTTTTATTTTTCTCATATATGATGAAATGTCTTCCTGCTTCCTAATTATGAATGGGATCTCTCGCAACATATTTCTCGCATGAAACATTGGATACGTTTTGTTTTATCGTAGTTACTAGCTTCATAGTTATTCTTAAGATTTAAAATGATGGTGGATACCCGATATTAATTAGGGTAGTAGGAGGACCAATAGCAGATCAATGGAGTCTTTAACGCTGTGGCATTTTTAAGATCTCAGGAACCTACAAGGCATGACTGTGGAATAAAATGGGATCCAAGTAATCAGTTTTCTTGGTCTATTGCATCTTCTGGTTTAAAATTAAAGTCGCGGGGGGGGGGGGGGCCAGCAGAAGGGGAACCAACTAGCTTTGGAGGTATGACTGCTGTCACCTCATGCCTCTAGACAGCAACACAGCTGAGGCGGAGAGGGCACAATGTAAATGGGATCCTCTGGAATTAAATTAAAGTCGCGGGGGGGGGGGGGTCCAGCAGAAGGGGAACCAACTAGCTTTGGAGGTATGACTGCTGTCACCTCATGCCTCTAGACAGCAACACAGCTGAGGCGGAGAGGGCACAATGTAAATGGGATCCTCTGGAATATGGTCCCCGGGTAGGTAATCAGAGATATGACCACCCCAAATTCCACATGGACTTTCCTCACTAAAGAAAAAAATCGTCCGTTTCTTGTCCCCTTGATAAAACGAAAAGATCGTTCTTTCTCGAATGGCCACTGATGGGCTAAAGAGCTGGAGACTAAGGGAGGGCTCCCTGACACTCGCTTTAGTCACGGCGGGGGGGACGTGGTCCACACCCGCGCGCCGCCGTCGGGCATTTCCCGGACATCTGGTTTCTCTCCCAGGGTGGGGACCGGACGCCCAAAGTCACTAGCCCGGGGCCCAGCGACGACCACCAAGCACCACCAAAGACACGGACCCTTGGGTTTCCCCTCAGACTCTTCACACGCTTACCCTTTTTCTTTTTGTCACAAAGCCCTCTCGTACCCACTGTGCCCCCGAGGTTTTCAAAGTGAATCCCTTCCGCCCCCCGCCCGGGTTTTCCAGTCCTCAGGGATTCTGACGCGGAACCCGAACGCGGAGACCGGCAGCCAGCGCGTCGCTGACCAGGGGGTTTGGCGCCAACCGACGCAAGTTTGGGCGTGTGCCCGGCGTGGGCGGGGCCAGACGAGGACGGAGGGGGCGGGCCCACGGCGGGGCGGGGCGGGGCTGGGAGGGAGGCGGGGCAGAGTTCAAGGGGGTGTGTTCACGGTGGGCGGGTCCCCGGACGCGGGGCTGGGACTGAGGCGGGGGCAGAGAGCGAGGGGGGCGGGGACGGCCCACCGTGGGCGGAGCCTGGGGCGGGGCAGGTCTGAGGAGGAGGAGCTACGAGCAACAACCAAAGGAACTTCTCGGGGTGGCTCCGTAGGGGTGATGGGGGGGCTTCTGAGGCGGAGAAAATGTGCTGAGGAGAGGGCCTCCCTTGACCTGAGGGAGATACTGAAGTCGGGAGAAGCCTTCAAAGTGGGGGCACGGAGGACACGCGTAGACATTTAGGGAGCTCTGAGGTGGACGCTGAGGTGAAGACAGGCTGCTGTGAGGAAAGGGTTCTAAGGTGCTGGTTGTTCCGCGCTGGAGAGAGGCCTCTGGAAAAGGGTCATGAGGTGGAAAACCAAGGCGGGGAGGGGTGCTCAGCGGAGGTGGCTGACGCGCGGCGACAGGTGCTAAGCAAAACGCTTATCTTCCTGGGGACCCTCGGTTAGGAAGGAGGTCAAACATGGCGTCTTCACCCACCTCCGCCTTCCTAATGTCTCTCTCTCCTCTGCGACACTCTCCAGTCTGTGAGGCCCCCAAGGCCCATTCAGGATGGAGGGGACTTTTTCTGCGACTTAACTTGCAATGTCACATAGACAACAGCAGCCAAACATATTTTGGTCCAGCTTTTAAATAGAAACTGTAGGCCCGCCTTCCTGCCAGCACAGCCGTCTCTGGCGGCGTCCTCTTCCTCCCCTGAGATGGTGACTGTTGACAAAAGTCATGAAACATTCGAAAGAGCATCTGTGGAGGTGGAGGCTCTGATGAAGAGCTGTGCAAACAGTTCTCGGGGTTCAAGACCTAGTACAGCGCGACCCTTTTTTCTTCAGCGTCTGAATCATCTCGCTGGAATAAATAGAAAAAAAAAAATTTTTTCCCACAATAGCTGTTGGCATTTTGTGGGACATTTTTTCACCTCCCCCCGAGAGTGGATTGTTTAAAGGGCCAACAAATAACCGCCACAGCTCTTCGGAATCTTATTTTCCGGAAACACAGCCTGTCCTTTGTGATAAATGGAAACCAATGCCCAGTTTGGGGATGAACTGGAGAGCGACAATGAGTTTTCACGCGGGAGACCTCACTTGAAATAATTGTGGGAAGTTCTGAGCGACTTGTTAGGTGAGGACATCGAGTGGAAGAGAGAAAGCTGCAAAGAGCACAGCGAGATGATTTAGGGAAATAGAACATATGTAGTTTGGTGTAGTGACAGCTGGGAGAGAGAAATGTTCATAATATTTGAAGGTTGTGTGCAGTACACTTAACGAAAGAGACTGAAATGAGCTTGGTAATGACAAATTCATGAAATGAGGATAAGAATCACGTTTGGATAGGATACTGATGGTTGGACGCAACTTTAAAAAAATTTTTTTTAACCAAAAATGCAGGGTAGTTAAAAAGCGCGCTTGAAGACTTTTCCACTCAAATGAGGACAAAAAAGGGGAAAAAAAGAGATAGCCTTTCATATCATCTAAAAATTTTGAATATGATGACAGTGGTATTTCAAATCAGCGGGGAGATGATGAATTCAGTGAATGGTGTTGGAACAGCTAGGTAACCATCTGGAAGAAAAATAAAATTGGAACCATACTTCACACCTTATACCAAGATAAATGCCAGATGGATCCAAAAAATTAAATCTGAATATAATCAAAGTGCTTAGAAGAAAACGAGACTCTTTTTTATTATCTTAGGATAAGAAACATCTTTTTAAATATGACACAAAACTCAGAAGCTGTAAAAGACTTATAAAAACGACTACATTAAAAAAAATACTGCAGGCAGAATGCTACTTTCCTATTTTAGATATAGCGGATGGCAAGCCAGAGCTTTTGTATCAATTAGTAACTAATTAGTAATTGTGTCAAAAAGCTTTCCCAATGTCTCAAATCCTTCAGTAAGTCCACAAGTTCTTTACGGAATTTTTAAAATTTGTGTCATTTTTATATTCTAAAAACAACAAAAACCAGGCAGTGGGATTACCTGAATTTTAAACCATTACACTTTAGTGCCCCTCTGTGGTCAAGTGCCTTATAATCAAATAAAGGCATATGATCCCACCGTCTGCAGTTAGGTTTCCTCAAACTGATGCCTGTGGAATATATGTTCTTGGAGTTTCAAGAGCTCACATATGAGAAATGCTTTAGTAGTGAACTAAAGAATGAAAGATCATCGCACAAAACAAGAGTTTCACTGGGAGCATCTCCCCTTAAACATACTGCGTCCAAAAGATGTTTCTTGAATCTCTACCATTCGTCAGACACTGACTGTACTGTGCTAGGTGTTGTGTACTAGAGTTTTAACAACAAACAAGATACAAACCCTAATGGCGGCTATAGATTGGTAAGTATTTAGCTAAAGGTAACGTCTGATAACAGCCAACACTCTTAGCACTCACTCCTTTCCACAGATTAACGCAACCACTTGTCACAATGACACCATGAGGTAGGGACTATTACCCCTATTGACAGATGACAATACTGAGGCATCACAAGGTTAAAGAACCTGCTCAAGGCTAACAGCCTGGCTTCTGTGTGCATGTTCTTAACCAATACACTAAATCGGTATATGGCGGACCCTGTATATTCATATGTGATTTTTTTTTTCATTTATAGGAGCATGGTTTAAGCATGGTTAAGCCAGACTTAACATAGTACAGCTCAGCCATTTACTAGCTGTGTTGTTTTGGGGAAATTAACGTCTGTGCCTCAATTTCCTCATCTGAAAACCAACAATGATAATAGTACTGGGTTGTTGTGAGAATTAAATTAATACGCGTGAAGTATTTGGGCTGCTGTGTGAAGAATGGATTGAAGGAGGTAAGAGAGAGAGGGCAAGGATTATGAGAACCTAGGAGAAGACTATATAAGTCAAAGCAGGAGGCGGTTTCCACCAAGAAAGGCCTCTTGAAAATGGGGGAAATTGTGCCTCGCTCACAGAGCTATAGTGAGAAGACAATAAACTAGTGTGACAATAAACTAGTATTTCACTTGTAACTCCATCCACTTACTCCCTTTCATTATTATTTTTAATGTCTATTTATTTTTGAGAGAGAGAGAAGGGGAAGGACAGACTGGGAAGGGGACAGAGGATCCCAAGCGGGTCCCATGCTGACAGCAGAAAGCCCGATGCGAGGCTTGAATTCATGAACTATGAGCTCATGACCTGAGCTGAAGTTGGGTTTAACCGACTCAGCCACCCAGGTGCCCCAATCCCTCTCATGTTATTTTGAAGCAAATTTCATACATCATATAATTTCATCTGTAAATATTTCAGTATGTATCTCTAAAGGTAAGGACTCTCTTAAAACACAACCATAATACCATTAGCACACCTAAAAAATAACTTTTAATATCAAATATACAGGCAGCATTCAAATACTCCGTTGTCTCATCAGTGCCATATGTTGTTTAAAGTTTGTTTCAGCTGGGATAAAAGATGTCTCCATGTTGCAACGGATTGCTGCCTTTTGACCCTTTTTTGCTAATTCTATAGATTCCTTCTTTTACCTTGTGACTTGTTTTTAAAAAATGGAATCGTTTTTATTAAAAAAATTTTAATTAATGTTTATTTATTTTTGAGAGAGAGAGGGACAGAACGCGAGCAGGGAAGGGTCAGAGAGAAAGGGGACACAGAATCTGTGAAGCAGGCTCTCGGCTCTGAGTTGTCAGCACAGCGAATCGCAAGATGACCTGAGCTGAAGTTGGATGCTTTTTTTTTTCAATTTTTAAAAATGTGTTATTTATTTTTGAGAGAGAGACAGAGACAGCATGAGCAGGGGAGGGTCAGAGAGAGGGAGATACAGAACCTGAAACAGGCTCCAGGCTCCAAGCTAGCTGTCAGCACAGAGCCCCATGCGGGGCTCGAACCCATGAACCGTGAGATCATGACCTGAGCAGAAGTCAGACGCTCAACTGACTGAGCCACCCAGGCACCCCCATATACGGAATCATTATTAAAAATGGAGTTTTCCAGAGCCTGGATTTTGCTGATTGCATCCCTCGATGTCATATGCTCCTGGTCCTTTGTATTTTTGAACACAGTGGTTGTTTCTGAACACAGATGTAGAGTCTAGAACAGATCCCGTTGTGGTTTTTTGGCAACAATCATTTTATAGGCATCTGACAGCTTTTTATCTTTTTGGGATGTTAGCAGCTGGTGATCAGCCTAGATTGATTCATTCATTAGGGGTTGCAAAATCGTGATATTTTAATTCTATTCTTTCTTTAATTAAGTGGAATATTTCTTTTTCTTTTTTAAATCTAAATCCAAGTTAGTTAACATATAGTGTAATAATGACTTCAGGAGTAGAATTTAGTGATTTATCATTTACATATAACATCCAGTGCTCATCTCGTTGAGTGCCCTCCTTAATGCCCATCATCCACTTAGTCTATCCCCTCACCCCCACCCCTCCAGCAACCCTCTGTATTTAAGAGTCTTTTATGGTTTGCCTCCCTCTCTGTTTTTTATATTTTTACTTTCCTTCCCCTATGTTTATCTGTTTTGTTTCTTAAATTCCACATATGAGTGAAACCATATATTTGTCTTTCTCTGACTTATTTCACTTAACACAATATACTTCAGTTCCATCCATGTTGTTGCAAATGGCAATATTTCATTCTTTTGGATCACCAAGTAATATTCCATTGTATGGATATGGATATATATATATGTATCTTCTTTATCCATTCATCAGTCAATGGACATTTAGGCTCTTTCCATAATTTGACTATTGTTGATTACACTGCTATAAACATTGGGGTGGATGTGCCCCTTTGAATC